CCGAACTTCAGGGCTTCCATCGTTCGTTCAAGGTAAGGGCCGGGTTGGTTTGGTGGGCGCCGCGGGCTGGACTACCTGAGTGGCCGGTGGGAGGGGCGCGGAGCTCGGCCTCAGGATCCCCCAAGCCTGGTGCCGGTCCCCCGGGTTGGTCTCGGCCTTGGGGCTGCCCCAGCCCAGCCGTGCGTGCGCCTACAGTCCAGGCTGATGGGCCCCGCGGTCTCAGGTCTTCCCTCCAGGAACCCTAGGTGGGTCGAGGGGCCCTTGTCCGTGGGGCCCTTGGTTGTGTGCCCCCTGCAAACCTCAGCCAGGTGTCTAGTGCTGGGTGGGGCGTCAGTCGGCTACAGGCCTGTCCCCAGCACCTTGAGGTCTGTGAGGTCCTTCCTCCAGAAAGGCCAGGCAGGGTTGCAGGTTCCTCCCCCGACAAACACCCCTCCCAAGTGGCCTGCAGAGTAGGGGTGTGTGTGGATCGGATGACCCCAGACATGCACCTCCCAGGCCCAAGTCCCGTTTCCTGTCGGAATGGGAAGTCTCTAAGGGGGCCCCAAGGCTTCCGAGTTCTAGTCTCAGATGAGCAAGTCAAGGGGGGTTTGGCAGGTGCAGGGCCAGGCCCCATGCGGCCTGGCCCAGGGGAGGCAGTGATGTCAGCAGCCACCCCACCCGCCTGCTGAATTATGTAATGGCTTTCCTGGGCCTCCTTGGGCAGGAACCTGTTGCCCTGCAGAGGGAGGGGGGGGAGGGCATGTGTGTGTGTGTGTGTGTGTACACGTACGTACAGGGAAGTCCGACACCAGTGTGTGTGTGTGTGTGTGTGTGTGTGTGTGTGTACAGGCAAGTCGGACACCAGTGTGGGAGGAGCCTGCCTGGTGTGTTTGGGTTAGAATTCCCAAGCCTGTCCAGCCAGCATTCACCTGCCAGCGCCCCACCCGGTGCACACTCCTGGCACCCTAGCTTCCACTCCCGGATAGTGACAGTCTTGGCATGTCCCCCAAGTGGCCAGGGCTGGGTGGAAGGGTGGTAGACCCAAGATGTCACTGGCGGTGGTCTGTTAACTCCTGGGACTGTGTCTGAGCTCAGACAGGGTCAGTGGGCAGGGCCAGCTCTGCGGTCAAAGCATACTCAAACTTTCTGGATGGTTCCAGCTGCCTCCTGCCAAGGCCTGCTGACTAAAGGCCCGCAGCCAGCCCTGGGCCTGGCCCGCCTACACTGCCTAGGCCTGAAGGCTGGTCTTTGCAGGCCACCCAGGAGCTGTGCATGCCCTGTGCTGAGGGGGGACTGTGGGAGCCCCAAGGGAGGGAGTGGGGACATGGGACAGGGAATCTTGGCTCTAAAGTGGCCCTCCAGGGTCCAGCGCTTCTGAGTTGGGGTCTGGGAGAGAGGTATGGGATTGCTGAAGAGACCCAGGTTTGGCCCCTTTGGGTCCTAGAGCCTTTACTTGATTGTTGGGGGCAGCTTCCTGACGTCTACTCTCCATCCTAATCACCTCCTTCTGTGGCCATCCTGGAGCCACTCCTTCCAGGTGGAAGGACGGAGACTTATCAGAGCATTGATTGCGGTCCTCATGGGAGCCAAACTCCTCAACGGGCAAGGACGGGGACTGGTGGATGAGCATCAGCAGGCCGGCTTCAGTGCTCCCTTCCTCCTTCCTCCCCTGCACCTCCTAGCAACTATCTGCAGGGTGGATAGGGAGGCTAGGAGGGCCCGCCTATTCTTCAGCTGCTCCTTCTGACCTCTGCCTGCACCCTGTGCAGCTGGCCTGGCTTCCGGGCCTCCTGTCTGTAGGAATCTGGCCTGGCAGAGTGGGCCCCTCCAGGTCTTCCTCGGGTTCTCCTGGAGTTCCTTTTCTGTTGGATAATTCTCCTGTCACAACCCCAACCCCAGCTGTCACAAGGCCCAGAGAAGGGCAATGACGGCCCAGGTTACCCAGCATCAGCCATAGCACCACAATTATGTATACAGGCCCCCTCTATGCCCACCAGGGCCCTGGCTGCCTGGTCCATCAGGATGTTGGGAGCTAATTAGAACTAACTTCTAAAGGAACCTGGCCAGGTCTCAGTGTCTCTCAGCCTTTATTGGAGGGACTGTCAGCCTTCATACAAAATCTTTTGCTCTGCAGAAATGGCATTTATCCTAACAGCCTTCTGTTTGCCCCATAGGCAATTTCTCCAATCCCTGGCATGCCTGTCATCTTTGGGCAGGATATAGTACCCTCTCCCCAGTTTTGGGGGCCATCCAGTGACATTGAGCAGGCCCCACTTTAACAGGGCTGGTTTCTTCACTGGGTACTAGGCTTGTGGTGCTCACTCCTGGGGGTCCCTGTGGGTGAACAGGACAGTGCAGGCTGTAGCCCAGGCAGAGAACAGCCCAGTGTTCATGCTGCAGCCCATGGATAGCTTTTCTGTAAGCCTCTGGGGGACTGGTGAGACAGGAGAAAGAGCAGCATAAAGCAGGGAGGGTGATGGCAGCCCTTGACACAGGAAGGGCTGAGCCCACAAGGCCGTGGGAAAGCAGGCAGGGCAACTAGCGGGGAGCCCCGCCCTAGAGCTCGTGACTCATCCCCCACTGACTGCTCTTTGCCTTTGATCTCCAGACTGCTGTCCCCATTCTGCAGGTGAACAAACCAAGGTGCCACAGTAACTTGCACCCCCTCCTCCCTGCACAGCCACACCCTAACCTGGGGCTCTGGTTGGGGGTAGAAGGGCTATTTCTTCATGGACAGGCGAAGCCAGGCTTTCTCCCCCTTGGCATATGTACACAGGGCTGGGTCACTCTGTAAAGGGGCCGTCCTGGCAGCATTACAGCCTGAGAGCTCTCTCTTCTCTACTACTTACAGGGGCAGAATCCTTTCGAGCTGGCCTTCTCCCTAGAACAGGCCCACCCCGGGGAGACTGACTTCAGCCTGGAGTGCCCAGCCCGCCCTGGTGAGGGGCCTGGAAGGGAGGGGACTATGGGTGAGGGCCAGGTGGGGCCTGAGAGCCACAGAGGCTAAGTGGGCCTCATGCCCGGGTCTCCTGATGCAGATATGCCCACGAGCCAGCCCATTGACATCCCAGACGCCAAGAAGAGGGGCAAGAAGAAAAAGCGGTGTCGGGCAACTGACAGCTTCTCAGGCAGGTTCGAAGGTGAGTGGGGTGGGCAGGGCTGGCGATAGGGGGAAGTGACTAGGTCCCCCAGGACAGCTCTCACTGCCATCTCTGCTCTCCAGATGTCTACCAGCTACAGGAGGATGTGCTTGGGGAGGGCGCCCATGCCCGTGTGCAGACCTGCATCAATCTCATCACCAACCAGGAGTATGCGGTCAAGGTAAGCACAACACCCTCACCTGTCCCCTTATCTCTCCCCAGCAATGCCTAGATCTGGCATTCAGGCTCCTGGACTCATAACTGGGGAAAGCCAGTGTCTAAAAATGACCCCTAGAAAGGACTTGTATGCATGCATATAAGCATAACCAATGGACATAAGACACTGGGGAATAGGGGAGACTAGGGGACTGTCTAGGGTGGGGGGAAAAAATGGACACATATGTAATACCCTTTGTAATAAAAAATAAAATTAAAAAAAAAATAAAAAATAAAAATGACCCCTAGAATCCAGGTCAGCCTGGGCTGAGCCCCCAAGACCAGGCAGAGGTGGGTCATGACCATGAAGTTTGGCCCCTAATGCAGGTGGCCGCAGACCTGGTGCCAGAGTGACCATTGAGAATGGGATGGGGGTTGAGAGGGCTTTGGTCAAAGCTAATGTTCACCTGCTGGGTTACTTCAGCCTGGTCCCCAGGCATAACTAGTGCTTTACCCATATTGGTTACTAGGATTAAAAAGCAACGCCATACTTAGGGCCCAGGGGTCTTAGCATGTAGGTAGACCAGGGCAGAGCCTCCTTCATGCCCACGTGGCCTCTGACCCAGGGTCCAGCCTGGGAACTGTGGCCCTGTGACCCCTGTTGTCTGGCTAGACTGTTGAACCCTGCATTCCAAGAAACCTTCCAGACTCCTCTCATGACCCTGCATCTGAGCTAGGTGAGCTCACAGGAGGCTGGCTGCCCAGGCAGGGAGGTCAGGTACTCCCCGGCAGGCCAGCTGACCAGATGCTTCAGGCTCCGCTGGAAGTCCAGGGACAAAGGCAGCTGTGGTCCCTGCCCCCTGGAAGCTCCCAGGTGGAGTGGGGGTGATGGTGCGGGAGAATTGGACACTAAGAATGGAGCACCTTCTGAATACCTGGTGTGTCTCTGAGTAGCCTTCTCCTAAGGACCTGCTGGGCAGCCTGGCTTACTGTCACTGTTTGACAAGTAGGGAAATTGAGGCTCTGAGTCACACTGTGTCTGACCTCCCAGAAGGCCATCTCCCTCCCCTGAGGGACTGCAGTATTCTCTATGAAGTGGGGTCCTAGCCAGATTCCCAAGGGACAGGATGAGTTTCAGTTATTGTAGAAGGATGTGGCTGGTGGCTTTGTCTCTAGAGGCCCTGGAATCTGTTTTTTCTGTCCCTCTTCGGGACGGGTGTGTTTGTCACTAGACAGGTGGGCATGCATAGGCCCAGGACTTGGAGGTCAGTGGACTTGTGTGCCTGCCTGCTGCAGGAGCCTGGCCTGCGGAACATACTACGTTCCCTTCCTCCAGGCCACTGTGGTGCACAGGGAGCCCCGAGCTTAGGTGGTGACCCCGCCTGTCCACTCACCCAGCAAAGGGGGCCGGAGGCACCTGCTAACTCCACCTCTCTCTGAGCAACGTTGCTGGGGGACGTTTGGGGATGGGCCCAGAACTCTCTAATTCTTAGAGCTCCTGCGTGCCAGAAAGGATTGGGGACGTTGGTGTGTGTTGGCTTCCTGTGGCTCTGGGGTCTGGGAAGCTGTGTCTGTTGGTGGGTGGGGGGTGGGAGGGCAGTCTGGCTGGCCTGAAACACCCAGGCTCATGGGGTCACAGACATCTACCCAGACTGGATTGGAACTGGGAGGCAGGACTTGGTGCAGAAGCAAGTGGATATGGCATGGCTGGCAGGCAGGTGCCTAAGGTCCCGCTAGTCCCCTGCTAGTCAGCATGGTGGCCACCAGTCTCCTGGTCATGAAGGGGAGGTTGCTTAGTCCAAGGGAACCTGACATTGTGAAGGGGTATTTTGCTGGACCCGAGGCTCCAAATATATCTCTGAGGCTTTTTTCCATCAGGAGTGGATAGGGCTGGCTCCTTCTCCCTGCCTTTGCTGTCCCACTCACTCCTCTCTTGGTGCCGCTTGGGAAATACGTTGCCCACTACTTGTGCTGATGCTGCAGTTCTGACTGGCAGATTCTGGGAGAACTCAGCCACCTTTCTAGATCCTAACGGTCTAAAGCTTTTAACAGTTTCAGGTGTAGTGCAGGGAAAGTTTCTGGTGGAGGCCCCTTGGGCTGGGGAAAGTCTGGCTTACCCAGGTGCTGTGTCTCCCCACCCCCATACGTTTCAGATCATCGAGAAGCAGCCGGGCCACATTCGGAGTAGGGTTTTCCGGGAGCAATCTCATCACCAACCAGGAGTATGCGGTCAAGGTAAGCACAACACCCTCACCTGTCCCCTTATCTCTCCCCAGCAATGCCTAGATCTGGCATTCAGGCTCCTGGACTCATAACTGGGGAAAGCCAGTGTCTAAAAATGACCCCTAGAAAGGACTTGTATGCATGCATATAAGCATAACCAATGGACATAAGACACTGGGGAATAGGGGAGACTAGGGGACTGTCTAGGGCGGGGGACAAAATGGACACATATGTAATACCCTTTGTAATAAAAAATAAAATTAAAAAAAAAAAAAACTTTCAGAAAACAAAAGCCCTGGACTAGACAGCTTCACGGGGAAGTTTTATCGAACACTGAAAGATGACCTAAAACCTATCCTTCTCAGACTATCCCAAAAATTCAAGAGGAAGGCATACTTCCAAGCTCTTTCTATGAAGCAAGCCTTA